CCACATGTATGATTGGCTGGCAGTCTATACAAACACACCCACCCTAACTCCCACCACGTGTATGATTGGCTGGCAGTCTATACAAACACACCCACCCTAACTCCCACCACATGTATGATTGGCTGGCAGTCTATACAACACACCCGCCCTACCTCCCACCACATGTATGATTGGCTGGCAGTCTATACAAACACACTGAAAATAACATAGTGTTACTATCTCTAATTTCAAAATCATTTCATTCATCAAATTCATCACATTCACAATCATCACACTCATGGCACCTACAGTATCACATTCATCATTCATTCAACTTCACATTCACAATCTTTAAATTCTTGGTCCCTGCCCAAGAGTGTCACGCAAGAGTGTCATCACACCCCTTTGCATCAGAAGCGCAACGCTTGCGTTTGTGTCGAGTGTGAGGAATGAGAATGTGATCGAGTCCAAGGAATGAGAATGTGATGAATGTGATGAATTTGGGCGCTTTACTGTGCTGTATTTAGTGTGTGAGCTTTCCATGACTGAACAAAGACTTAAGGTTTGTGTATGTCACGCTTGTACATGTATACTCCACGCCATGTACACTGCGGTTCTATAAACACAGCAAGCAAATCGACACTGAGTGCCAGTTTGTTTCCACAAAAGCGTGTCAGGGTGTCTATCTTTGTTTTCGCAAAAGCGGGTTACGAGTGTCTGTCAACGTTTCTGGGGTTTGTTTTCGCAAAAGTGTGTGAGCGTCTGTCAACCTTTAAGTTTGTGGTGCTCACAAGTGCGTCCTTTTTTCCACCAGATCAGATTCACATTAACTCCCCTTTTGGGAAAATTCTGCGATCCTGGGAAACCGAAGCAGAACGCCATGTAGGCCAAGACCCCGACACGCCTTGCGTCGGAGATTATTCCAGCAAGACCATTGGGCGCGTCAGCGCCAACAATGACCACCTGACCATTCTGTCAACGCCAGGATCTGTGGACTCCAGTTGATGGAGACATTCAAGCGGCCTGCAATCTTCATCGCAAGCTATTCCAGGTCTGGGCTTCACTAACAAACCATTGGTTTACTAGGAGTGAGCTAGACTTGAGAACAGAGTAGTAGACTCGATCCAATGCCTTGGTCCACGGAATGGCTCCCCGACTTTACATTGGCTTTTGACTTTGGCAAAAGCATTGAAGCACATCAAAACCCCATGAAAACAAGTGAAACTTAGGTGCTTTCGATGGATGAGGGGTCATTGACACCGGAATCATTGGCCCTATTAATGAAAGGACATTAAACCAATAGAGTTGCACCCATGAAAACAATTTTATAAAACTATCTAACACTAAAACTTTGGCCTTGTTGGAGGGACAGATCTTTGGTTAGTTGTTGGAGGGACAGATCTTAGGTTACTGAAGCCACATTCAGCACACAAAATCATACCAGCCACTTTCGTTTGGCAGCCACCAGTGATTTCTATACAGCTGGACGGGCTGCTGGAGGGTATTAAGCCGCTCCAAAATGAACGGCCTCAAATTTCCGATGGCCGATCTGTGATCTTGGTCGCCGCAAAAGGTGAAGGCACGGAAGGCTTTCAGGAGCAGCCTTCCCATGGCCAAAGCATCAGGATGATGCCTAAAATGGTGAAGAGCTGCTTCCACCAAATCTGCAAGCTTTCCTGAAGATTGTGGGTCAACGACAGATTCCATCTCACCCCTCATGACGGATTCAAAATTACAAAACGGAACCACCCCGTTTTAAACCTCACCAAGTTGCGAGTGTTGGAGCGGATGTGCAAGACGTCCTCCATGCACTCGTTGATGATCACCTTGATGTGAAAAGATCCTGGGTAGGCAGCTTGAAGATCGGCCACTCTGTGATAGTGCTCGTGAAGGTCAGTGATCTGGTCGTTTGAGAAGGCGTCCTTCCTCAGCATTTAACATTTCAACTACCAAAACCACCTACCACAGGGGCAACACGAATCCTAATTGAAAACTCGCCAAACAAACTAATTGAAAATTTCATGCAAACCCTGCCAGAGCTCATCAACACTATCAAGTTCACCATGCGTTGCGCTTTGCCAGTTCGAGTGAAGTCATTCAACTCCTGGAGGAAATCTGCCCAGCGCAAAGCGGCAGCCATTGCACACACGAAAAAAACAAACTGTACAGTGAGGCTGGAAACTTGGTCCATCAAAAGTTCATCCATCCATCAAGAGTTCTTCATCCATCAAGAGTTCATCATGTCTCTACTCATTTAGGTAAAGACCATGAAGCAAATAGCGCCAAAGCAAGCAGTTCATCAATTTTCCAACAAATGGCGGCTCATCACATATCGTTGGAGTACCAGCAGCGTTCACTGCCTGAAAAGGGAAGATTGTTCATACTAGATAATGATGTAAGAAAGGATGGTGTGGAAAATTACATAACTAAAACTACTAGTGTTACTAGTAGTGGTGGTTCATACTACTGGTGGTAGTAATAGTTGTAAAAAAGTAGTAGTAGTCGTCGTAGTCGATTTTGACTGTGATCATTTGATTTTGACTGTGATCACTCTGATGGTGATAGAGGTGTAAGTGTGAAGGTTGCAAATGTGTGCGTCGATGATCACTTGATTTTGACTGTGATCACTCTGTTGGTGATAGAGGTGTAAGTGTGAAGGTTGCAAATGTTTGCAAAGCATTGTGAACAGGGAAGTTTATCGAATCTGCAGATGATTTTGAGCTCTAGAGTTGGAGTATCTAGAATGGGCAAGTAGTTACAAACAACCGCCACTAGATGTTCAATCTATGAACACATCGTTCTACTACTACTACCTGCTATTACAACAACTAATACTGCTATTACTACTAGTGCTACTACCACTATCACACAATGGAAATATTCAGAAGTTTGCCTGCAAAGGTTCCAGCCGCAAGGTCCTGCAGGTCAAACAAAATGCTGCCCAAATGCAGGTCCAGCGCTGAGAGTGCAAGGACTAATGGCAATGCAAAACAAATGCAGTAAATCACAATCACATCACAATCACAATCACAATCACAAAACTTCGGAATGTTGCATTTTTTCCCCAAAGTTGCCACCAATGCCCCTGGTTTGTAACGCATCAATGCTACCCAAAATGAGGTGGCTACCCAAAATGCTACCAAACGCATCAATCAGCTCCGATTGAGCCATGGCCTTTTCTGGCCAGCATGATCCTGGACCTAAGATCACTTTCCATCCAAGCCGCGTTTGCCATCTTGAACTTTTGCTGCTGCGTCCACTCAGAGTTGTTCTTGTGCTCCTTAAAGAAATCGCCCATAAACTTCTCCTGAGCTGCTGCTGTGAAACACACGACATTGACAACCATATGTAACATAAGAGAAACAGGCAGTGTAGTAGGCGCACACAGGTGGCATGAATGGACTGACTCATTGATGAATGCTGTCAAGGGACACGAGCATCTTTCAGGGTGAGAGGTCTGGAACTGGAAGAACTCGACTCTTCAGCAGCAGCTTCAGGGGCAGCGGCAACAGGTGGTGGTTCTGCAGGGTTCTTCGGCACTCCCTTCGATTGAAACTTGTTGTGCCAAATGTTGGAGTTCTCTATTGCCCGCAGGCGTCGCACCTCCTTGAGTTGCGCCTGCCCCTGCGGACTGAAATCCGCCAGTCGTGACCCTTTCTTGAAACGTGGATCCCGCAGCAAGTCCTCCTCTTTGTCAAATGCAACCTTCTTGTCATCAACCTCAGGCTCAACACCCTTCTTGTCATCCTCAGCATCATTCTTGACAACCTGGACATCCTTCTTGTTCTCGATCTCATCAGCCTCCTTTTTGGCACCATCACCACCAGTTGGAGCACCTGTTGAAGGGACGTTCTCGTCAATGTCGTCCTGGCTAGGAGTTTCGTCCCCCAAGATAAGTGTTTTCGCATCATCAAAATAGCAATTTGGTAGCTGCGAATCATTGTTTGGGCTCTGAGAAGGACCTTTCGGAGAAGCTCCATTTGGCACCTGCGAATCATTGAGCGGGGTCTGAGAAGGACACTTCTGGGAAGCTCCATCTGGCACCTGTGAATCATTGAGTGGACTCTGAGAAGGACGCTTCGGGGAAGCTCCAAAGTCAAAGGCACTCTTTCGCTTCAACTTGCGATTCCCAGGGAGCAAGGCGAGCATGGAGGCAGAAAACTCAGAATCTGGAGGAGTCCTTGGACACGCAGTTTCTGGCATGGTCACAACTGGCCTGGCCATAGACACCTGCATTGTCGTTGGAACAGGTAGGACACCATGGGATATGTTCGCAAAGCTTGACTGCTGCGGCGCATTGCCACCACTGAACTCAATATCCTCATCGGAATCAATCACGTGGGTCATTTCCACAGAAGCTCAAAGATGTGGCCGACAAGGATGTGTTCGCAAGGCTTTGATCCACAAGACTGACCAACAGCACACAGAAACAGGTTATGAAAGATAATGGTTGTGATGGCTTCGAAAAAGCTCAAAGACGGATTTTGAATCAAACGATTGAATGTGACTGAAAGTGGTTCTGACAAAGTAACATAAACATCAACTAGTTGAGATTGAGCAAAGGTTGTGAGAATGTAACGGCACAGATATTTTCTTCATCGTGATCTGAGCTGGACCTGTTGGCTGGACAACGTTTGTCCCTAGTACCCTGACAGTTGACCTCAACAGATCAAATCAAAACCTACAAGCGTGTTCAGTGGGCAACAACAATCATCGTAGTGCGACTATGAACTACGAAACAGGACTTTCAATTCTTCTAGAGACCATGTTTCATATGTTTCAAGCCACTGAAATGCAAAGTCACCTTTGCACACACTAAGCTGTAAAAACTCACACGATTCGCTGAACTCCATTCTTGTCCAAGCTCAGGCCTTCCACGAGGAACCACAAAGGCTTCGCTGGGGCAACCATAGACTCGTTCTTGTAGATGCGAAGCCTCCATGCCTTGTATCAGAACACATATTTACTGGCAGTCAGCCCCTGTCGCATCAGATTCGTATCTAAACAAACATTGTATAAGCTGCTTCCAAAATGCCAACTTCAGGGCTGGGCTCTCTCTCAAGCTCTGAGCGGAAACGAAGCTTGCTGCATTGGAATGCTTCAAGCTCTTCAGCTGCACTGAGTTGGCTTTCCAACACATGAAGGAACCGTCTTTGGGAGAAATGTTGAACCTTGGATTTGTTCAAGGCAGTAAAGTAAACACACACAGTGAACAATCGACATTTCCTTGATAACTTAAAACCTAGCTGACACACTGTGAGCAATCGACATTCCCTTGATAATTTAATGAATCCTAGCTACTGGTCGTCTGCATCGCCGCGCAATACATCTGATGGACGCTGGGCTGTATGGCCGCCCAACTCAAAGTCGACCAGGCCAGATGCCTCCACAGCTTGGAGGCATTCACGGAGAGTCTTCAAGGAGCTGTCTGACCCATCATCCTCCTGTCAAATCAAAGTAAAAGTAAAGTCGAAGTAGAAGTAAAGCAAGTAAAAGTACAGGCAAAGTAAGTCAAAGTAAAGCAGAAGAAAAGTCAAAGTCAAGGCATTTGCAACAACATCACTCCCAACCCCATCGAACAGTCATTGTTCATACATCAAGTGACCCCCTGCCTCCAGAATGCACAGGTGCTGGTCGGACTCAAACTTTGCAACATGAGCCTTGTCAGGGTTGTCTTGCAGCATCTTCTCAGCTTTGGTGTCAAGGAGCCAGGAGCCTGCTCCATGTGACAGAACCGGGCCCTCATTGCAATCAAATGTTCCAGCGACTGGAGCACAAAGGAAGAACTTGGGCCCTTCAACAACTTTGATCACAAATCCACTGCTTCCCGGAGCACTGATGGTCGATGACGGTTCACCGTACTTGGCCACCAAATCTGTAAGAGTGCGAGGCTCACCTTCAAAGATGTGCTTCCAAGGACTTGCATCCGTGGCAGGGGAACCAGCAGGAGTTGCAGGAGCAGTCGCGGGAGTCGAAGGTGCAGCAGCAGGTGGTGTTGATGCGGTTCCATGCAGCTTTTCAAAGCTCTTGAGCAGTTTCTTCCACTCTGCAGATCTCAGCGGGTCACCAAGAAACTTCTGCCGCACATCACTGGGGATGGTCAACTTCCCCTCGACTTCCTTGCACACAAGCAAGTCTGGAGGAGTCACTGTATCTGGGAGACCTGGGGAATCTGGCACATACCTGGCACCCTTGATCATACCTGAGTCCCTCTTCCATTCCTCCAGCAGGTGGCTGCGCAAAAGTTTTGATGCCAGCTTGTGGCACGCCAAGTCCATGGTGAGGCCGATCACAGGGCATGAAAGCTGCACCGCAGCCTTTTCCCAAGCTGCGTCATAGCTTGTGGCATGGTAGATGATGGTATGTTTCCCACCTAAGCAGTGCAAATCAAATGGATGTGGCTGCAAACAACGTTGATTCTGTACACAGTATGTTTTTGATTTTGCTATGATTTCACTATGACTGTGATTGCAAATTGCAAAGGAGATTGTGACAGAACTTCCACACAGTTGTTATTGTTGTTGTTGTCGCTGGCTTTGTGCATTTGTTTTGTGATATTGACGATTTTGACAAGATGACAAGTCGACAAGTTGAGGGCAGCACTGACACCACCAACACCCAAAGCTTCAAGCATCTTGAGTGGAATGTCGACACCTGACAACCATTGCGCGGTCTCCTGGAGGTCCGTGTAGTTCTTGCGCTGGTCATTCGAGGTCAGCTGCCCTTTGGTAACTGGGGCAACATACTCGTTCTCTGCAAGTGGGCTCGGCAATGGGTCAGGCAAGCTCTGGTAGCGCCAGGCATGTGAAGCCACGAACCTCAGTATTGACACATGAAACCAACATCGCAAAACAACTGTCAGGAGCAATCATGAGTTGATCAGATTCCTACACTAATCAGGTAAAGACTCCAGTCAAAATCAACCACAACCAATCAGATTTGATATTTGTTTCGAGCTACGCATTGATGTCTTCTTTCCCTGGCTTTGCTGGTGACGACTCAGAACCGCCACTGTGACCAGACCTTGGGAGTCTGTAGTTGACTCCTTTCAAAGGCAATGTGTGATCTGGGACGACCAACATCGAGCTATAGCAAGCAGGCTGTTCTGAGTTTCCATGGAGGTTGCTCAAATTGATCGCCAAGTGGAACGGCCGGAGCGCCAGCTGGTATTGCAACAGCTTATCTTCGATCCTCCTTGCGCCACTTGACAGACTGCAGTCAACCAAAGGACTTCCTTGAACCACTTGACAAACAGTCAGCCAAAGCAAGAAGCAAACAAAATCATTCAGTCCTTTGGTCCTGCCGTAGTGATGCTCCAGCAGCAGTGCCAGTGAGAAGTGGACAAATGACCACACCGATGGCACCTGATGCTGACGTTTTACAATGTGGCTGAATGCGACAATGTGCGGCAAATGTCAAAGCAAATGTGGCTGACATTTTGAACGCAACCCGTCCAAGATATTGAAGTTTAGGTACGGAGGGGGTTCTTGGCGAGAACGTTCGACATCCACTGTGCATGTTGGTTGATGTCTTGTTGCCCGATACAGCCAAGCTTGGTAAAATCAATCACAGCCACATAATGGAGATCATCCATCGCAATCTGGCAACATTTGAAAGAACTGCACTTTGGCAATGTTTGAACAAATACAATCAAATTGTTGAGTATGCAGTGGCAGCTCAACACAGTACTCAACAGGCCTGCCATTCTGCAGCGCTCCTCCTGCAGAACTTCTCGGATGACGGTGCGTTGTTGATGTCTGGGACCAGTTGAATCATGCAACTAGCGTCGCAGAACTTTTCCACAAGCCTCAGTCAAACGAGTTTTCAAACGAACTTTTCCACTAAAGTCAAAAAGTTTTCAAAAGCACCCCCCAAAAAAGCGTGGAAGGAACCAAGTAGATCTTGAGCCAAGTAAATCAAGGAACTCCAGCCCCTTAGCATTTTGCTCCTTTGCATGCTGAACTTCAACAACATGCGCCAGGCTGGCTCGCTTGGTCTTCGCTGCGTTGAAAGCCGTCCATGCGCATTCATCCTTCCTGGTCAGGGTACATGGAACAACACCAAAACATGAGTTATTGAGTTATGAACCACCACTACAAAGCATCAAAACAACAGCTGTCATGAGAAACAAAGCTACGCCAAGGTTCGCAATTTTTGCCTTAAGTGATGCAAAGGCTGCATTTTCCAATTCCTCTTCTTTCTCCTCCACAGTCTTCTCATCAACAGCAACTCCCATTGTTGTCGCCGGCGTCTCCCTTTGCACCATCTCAGTCCACAAGCAAAGGTTTTTCACAGTCCATCCGGCCGGCTCTGCCTTGATGATGGCTTCAATCTCTTCGAAGTAGTCCCTAGCGATGAGTACCCAGGCTAAAAATTGACTGTGAGTCGGGTTTGTGTTCGCTTGGTATGTATATATATATACCGTATATACCCTAGAAAATATTTACCACATACTACCCCTTACTACCCAAAAATGTAGTGAACATGAGAGCAAGTGTACACAGTTTATGTACATGTTTACCGAACATATTCTGATTCAGAACTACGATTGAGAAACCACGATTGAGAAACCAAGATTCAGGGTGGAGTGTATAATATATTATGTTTTGCTTCCTCGCGACATCTGCTATAGTTTCTGAATCAGGCGGTAGTTTCCGAACCATAGTTTGATGTTGCATACACATTCAGTTAGATACAAAAAGGAATAATAACTGTACCCAAAATGATTCTGTGAGTCATCAGTTGGTTTTGAAAGGGTCACATGATAGACCTGAATGTGACAAAGTGTTGAGTTGTTGAAACCTGTGATTTACGAATTGCCTGTGATTGGATGAGTCTGAGTGTGATTGGATAGAACTCTATAGATTAATTTGCGCCAAGAAACAGGTCCAGAAATGCCTTCTTGATGGTTTCCAAATCCGGAGCGTCTGCCAAGAGAGAAGCTTCTTTCAAGACATGTGCGTAGATGCAGGCGAAATTGATGTATGCGTCCCAGTCTTGCGCACTCAGCCTGCACCGCGGCCTCTGGTTCGGTCGGACTTTTCGCGTCTTGAGGTGGAACTGGTGAAAGACCAAGGCCAGGAACATCTCCTGCGAAGTCTCCGTGACTGTGAGCAAGACTTTGAAGTGAGGCTGGCATCCACGCGGCA